CTCCGCAGCGGCGCGGGGCGGAGGAGAGGGCGGCTCTGAGGGAGCGGGGCGGGGGTGTCCGGAGCCGCCCGGCAGCGCCTGAGGCGGACGTTCAGCTGCCCCCGGCGGCCTGAGGGCACGACGGCAAAAGGCGACGCTCGCTTCGTGGCGGAGCCCGGCCACGGACAGGTACGTGGCCTTACGGATGCTGGTGCCGCCGCCTGCCCGGCGAAGGGGAGCTGTGAGGGGGCCGGAGGAGTTGTGGGTGCGGGGGCCGGGACCGCAGGGACGGTGGCGAGGCCGAGAGATGCCCGTGCACAGCGGCTCTCGCCTGGCATTGGGGTGCCCGGGGACTCGGCCGTGCGGGCTGAGCGCACCCAGGGCTCTCCCTCGCCCTGGGATGGGGCCGTGCCCGACAGCGGAGACTCGGCTCCCAGCTTGGGTGACCCGCGGGCTGGAACGGGAAACTGCAGGAACTTATGGAAGCGCTGGCGTTGTCCGTAATGCCGGCGGGAGGGCAGAGCCTCACCCGACTGCATCGGCCGGGGCTTAAACAGCCATGTGTCTTCTCGCTGTCGCACCTGTGTCTCCCCAGCTGCGGGGTGGGCTGGGGTTTCTTTCAGCTACCAGAAAAAATATTATCAATCAGTCAATCAATCAAACAAACAAACAAAAAACACAGAGGAAAAATAGGGCTTCTGCCTATACAGATGCACTCCTGATCAGTCAGCAATGAGCACAATATGTATCTGTATTGGTAGAAAAGCACTTGGACCATGTGTCACAGCGAATCACTTTAGTGCCTGTTAAAATGCATCTTGTGAGGTAACAAATTCTGTATTGAATGGTTTATTGAATGCTCTGGTAGAAATATCTAGAATATTAACAAAAAAAGGGCTATTAAGAGCGATTATAAGCATTTTTGATAAGTTTACTGTGGTATAGATATCTAAGACATTTTTGACACTAGGTTTTCATCTCCATCAGATAGATCTATTGGTACAGGTAAATTCTGATACCTGGTAGCTTGAGCTAGGTGCCTCAAAAGACCGACCCCCAGACATAGAAATTCCTGGGCAATTATTATTACAGTGTAAACTCTGCACTCAACAGTGTGGATCACTACCCATATTACAGTCTGGGCCCTTCTTGGCCTTCACTTTGCTGTTGTTTTGTTCCAAGTGTTTGCCACGTGGTCATCTTCACATCCTCTTAGGTCTGTTTCTATGGTAGTTTCAGTCAGTTCTGTAGTCCATGTTACAATGTGGTTGCTCCAGCTATTAATTTTTGAGTAGTATTTAAATTACAGTTTTGTCTATTCAAACAATTAATAATGTTTAGGCTGTTAGCTCCAGGTTTCACTGTGTATGCCTGTTCTTTTCAACTGTCATCCATCTTTGACTTACACAACATAGCCTTATAGCTCAGCTTGCTGTAACAATTCTAGTTACTTCTGTCAAGCAAGCACTTTGCTACTTTCAAATAATATTAATTTTTCAATAAATCCTGCCTTTTTTTTGTAAGCATACCTGCTTTAATAATTTAGTATTTGATACGAGTTTAACCTTGTGCCCTAGCAGAGTTTGAAGGCAATTCATTCCATTAGTTACTACATAGGCCATAATTCACACACGGGGACAGAGGCGCGTGTACATCTATACCTGTGTACAAAGTTACTATGAAAAGTTCCCCTTGAGTTCAGTGGAATAGATCAAATCCATTTACATTTATGAGTTGCTCCTTGAGGACTGTAGTTTCCAGTATGGCAGAGTTGAGGGTTAATGAGCTCCAGATGGTGTCCCACCTGAAGACAGGTGCTGGTCATAGCTTGCTGGGGTGTGGGAGAGTTCAGAGGGCCTCTCTTGGTACTGCTCTTTATTGGGTCAGGAGATGCTTGGCTTTAGTCAAAAATACGTTTCCATCCTAGCCCTAAACCAAGTTTGTAACTACTGGAAATTTTGGGGGAGAAAAGTCTAGTAACAATGGTGCTGTTTCATTTGCACTGCAGCTGGGGGAGGTAACTCCTGAAATCCTAGAGCTGGCCTGAGGAGGTGTGGGAGGGAATGCACCATCACAATTCCCCCATGTCTGAAGTCAGTTCATGGTGCTCCACAGAATGACAGTTTGGTCACCTCTTGCTTCTCTGCCTATAAACAGGCTAATGTTATGTTCCAGTTGTAATTTGAGGGAAATTTTTGGTTACCTAATTATTATGGTTTTGTTAAATGTTAGTAATATGTTTCAGGAAGGCCTCTGCAACAGTGCCATCCACCAAGTTATTCTCCACATAATACTGTTCAATACTGTTCAGTAAGAAGCATTATCCCAATTTACCTTTTGCATTTCAGTGGGCAAGGTGCCTTCATGACCTTCCCTTATAATTCCTGTTAACAGTAGATTGTATCCACAATGAAGAAACATATATAGAGTGGAATGTATTATAGTTACCGAATTGATTAAAATAAAGAAATTAAGGTCTCCAGCCTGTGGGGAACTTGTTGATGTGTGAATCAAATTTGGTTCATGCTGGCAATGGTTGCTCCTGTGAGAAGGATAAGCAGTCCTTCGATGGCTAACTGATCACCAGTGGAGATGTGCTGGCATCATTCCCAGTGCTATTCCTGAAAACAGTATCAACAGTGGATTATGCCCTGCATTCATTTGCTTTTTTTATTGTGGATACTTGTATTTGCCCCCTAAATTTATGTTTTTATCAATTTTTCAAATGTTGATTGTTTTCAAATGTTGATAATTTGGTTTCCCTTAAACAAACCTTGTACTTGTGACTTGTCTATGACTTGATAATGGGGATGGATATCCTATGGCATCCACTAGAGCAGTTGTGATACAGCAATCACATTAATTGGGTCAGTGCTTTGTTGGATTGCCCCCATTTAAGGCTGTCTTATCTCTTTCTAATGTTGCGTTGCAGTATGGTAAACATTTGATTCAGTCAGCCTCTAGATGCAGTTCCCTGAGCACTGACAGTAGCAATAGTATGTTAGAATGAAGCAGGATTAGATTGGTTTTTTCATCTGGTTTCTAATCCAACTGTACCTTAATCTTTATGCTGAAAACTGAATGCCTTGTTCTGCTCTGGCCAGGCAGTGGTGGCTGTTTGGGTGAACAGACAGCTTGTCTGTCTCTGCAACACTTCTGCAAATACAGCTTTTTGGCAGGTTTTTCTTATTGTTGCTTGTAGGCCACTCCAGGAACACCAAGAAGTAGCTCACGCTGCTCAAGTTTGTAATAGTTTGGGACTTGTACTTGAAAACTGCTGTGCTCAAAACCATTTTGTGATGGTCTCAGCTGTGAGCCAGCACTAGTTTAAAGCAGTGCCTACAAGCAGTACATTGAGTCTTTGTAAACTGTTGCGATCTCTTATGATGGCTCTGGATTGGTTTAATCTTTTAGATATGTATTTTATTGTTTTGTTGTTTTGGGTTTCAGCTTTACAGACACACTTTAAAAACTGGCCTTCTGCCTAACGTTATCTTTGGACAGCAGTTCCCCAGCCACAAGATGGCAAAGGCTGCAAGAGGTTACATAAATCATTGTACATTGTAAGCTAGAGACCATATACAGCCATGTAAACAGTGAGCAGTTTTCTCAGGAAAAGTTGTGCAAGATGAGCACTCACAGAAGTAACTGTGGATAATTCTTTAAATGCTGGGTTCAGAGAAGAATCTCTCTGCCTAATTTACCTAATAGTGTTTTCCTTGTCTTGTTTAAATGATTGATCAGACCCTGATCCATGTCAACTTGTTCTGTTAGAATACTGGAGAAAATTTTGAATGTTCTTTCTCCCCTAAAACCCATTTCTCTCATTGATGATTTTCTAGGGGCTTGCTCTGATGTGACCCAGTGTGTGACAGTGGCCAGAGTTCTAATGTACTAATTTCTGTAAATTCTTATGCAAACCAAAGAGGAGAAATGTATTATTTTTGTTAGTCTGCATTTTTTGTATTCATATTCATGCTGCTTGGTGATGTTGAAATTCTAACACATCTGGATCAATAATTTAAATGGGACAGAACAATTCAGACTTCAAAAGAACTGAAAACACGATGTTTAGTTGAAATTTAATTTTTTTTTTTTTAATATTGCAGGGCATTGCATAGAAAGACTTTCACATCTGGTAAGGTGACATTGGAAGTCATCAGTTCTTGGGTGCTGCATGTACTGGAGTTTTTTTCCTTTTCTTCAAGGTCCTCCAAAGTAGGTGCAGCTCAGA